CTGTACAGACCGTATATTCTATTGCCCTACACCAACCCTACCCCTAAACCTACCCCTCACAGGAAACGTTGTGATATTTCAGATTTTCAATACACTCCATTCTGTGTGATTTATATCACACACACACACACACAGACACTGCTGCAGTGCGGAAGGCTTCAGATAGCGAGTGAAAAAAGAGAACAGCAGCAAAAAGAAGGGAGGAGGTGGGACTGTCAAATGTAGGCCTTTCCCTGCTACTGACCAGACTGCATTTTACACATACTGTATGTAGAGTGCACACACTGCTCTACTACTGACAAGCCTGATTCATATATAGTCTAGTCTACAGTTCTTTAAACAGTCCATGTACAAATGCCAGGATCCACAAATCTGCTGACATTCAGCCCTTGGTTTATGGTTTAGAAGGATTCCTTTTTCTCCAAACTGATGCTACGATTGATAGCCCAAGTGTTTGTCTTTATACGAACAGTGCGTGCCAGTGGCAAGAAGATAGCAGTGCATATCATAAGACTATGAAGTCTCTACAATGCATGTCATATGACATTCTTCTACAGGTGTTTAATAGCACAATAAAACATCGTCATTTTTGCATCTCTCTCTCTATATATAAAATATTATTCATCATATTTTATATTAATTATACAATTATGTTCATTTAGCATTTAATACATACATAGGATTTTAGAATATAAAACATATTATTATTTATTATATTCATTTTATAATAAGATATTCTTAAGAATGTTATTTTCACACATTGTTATGCTGATTATATCATTTGTAATGAAAATATATTTAGATTTTTCAATGTTAGATTTAGTATTGTACAGTTCTATATTGTATTACAGTTTTCCCTTGTTATTTTAGACGTTTATATAATATGTCTTTCTCTCTATTATATTCCGGACACTAATGCAAAAATCCACAATTCTGGTCTGCTGCATTAATTGTTTCATTGCTGTTGGCCAATAATGAAAGTGTTATTAATGATGGTGGTTGTTCTTGGTCCAAAGCCAGATTAATAACACTAATATTGTTCAGTGTATGAAAGAGCCATCTGCTTCAGTGCAGATCTAAGCACATCTTGGGAATTAGCATACATATCTGCGCATAATTCTTGTGCTGAAACATTTTTGTTTAAATATGTGATGTGAGAAATATGCACGTTGTGTAGTTATGATCAGATGGCACTTTAAGGAGAACTATTTATTGACCTGTAGTCTCAATTGAATGGGACGACAGGAGATGTTGTTAAAGTTTGGTGCTGAACTTTGAGAGTTCTGCTGTAATTGCTTGGGTTCTGTGGATCCAGAGGGTTCTGATATTTGCATGCAGGGCTGGTTCCACTGCAGAGAGGAAGAGAGGCCTTCGTGTTCTGATTGGTGGAGGAGTTGCTAGACAACAGATGTCTGGCCGGTTGGTAGGTGGACTACCTGTGGAGCTGGGGCTGGGGGGGGGGAGTTTATTAGTGATAGAACGAGAGAGTTATGACAAACTGAAATAAACTGATCTTATTCTGTAAAAACAGGAAACTGAGTGATTTGACTAATGTGCATGCTATTTTATCCCCCTCACCCTCTTCACAAATTAATTTATTCCCTCCATCTAAACAAAAATGAGAGAAGGATCTAAATGTGGCCTAAGGCTGAGCAGAAATGAGCTATTCATTTATGATCTCAATTCAAATTCAAATGAATCACAATTTCATATGATTCACCAGGCTTCATTTCACAATGAATAAGCTGTGGTTATGGTTGCGTGCAGAACTGCATACCAGCATGCATCTCATGCTATTTTTGCAGTGTTTTATTCATACTGTGCAGCAAAATGTGCGCAGCATGCATAAAATACTGCAAAATGAAAAGTTGGAAATGAAAGGTTGATTAAATATTCATGTATTGTATACAGAAGAAAGAAATGACATGAGGGTGAGTGTCACGCCCCTAGACTCATTGTGTTGTGTTTTCCCTCTCCAGGTGTGCCGTGCCTCAGTTAATTAGTCATTACATGCACCTGTGTTCCCCTAATTGCCCAGTGTTTATTAGCCCCAGTCTGTGCTGTCTGTCTTGGTCTGAGATTGAACGTCAACCCCTGTGTTTCCTGTGTTCCAAGCTGCCAAGTGTTACTTCCTGGATATTCTGAATTAAAAGACTATTGTTGTTCGTGTACTCCTGTTCTCCTCGTTCCTCGCATTAGGCTAAAGTGTGACAGAATCTCAGACCAATACAATTACCTCCCCCTCCCCAGGTGTGCCGTGTTCCCTTTAATTAGTCATTCCTTGCACCTGTGTTTTCCCAATCACCCAGTGTTTAAAAACCCTAGTCCTTTCAGCTGGTTTTTGTTGGAGATTGAACGTCAACCCCTGTGTTTCCTGTGTTCCCAGCTGCCAAGTGTTACTTCCTGGATATTCTGAATTAAAAGACTATTGTTGTTCGTGTACTCCTGTTCTCCTCGTTCCTCGCATTAGGCTAAAGTGTGACAGAATCTCAGACCAATACAATTACCTCCATTTGTCTACCCTTCGTTTTGTTTCTGGGTTTTCCTCAGTTTTTTGTTTCCATAGTGTTTTCCCATGGATCCCTTCACTCGCCCTCAGTCCCCGCTCCTAGAAAGCGCCCTCCAGTGCCTGCTCCTAGAAAGCACCCTCGAGTGGCCGCTCCTCGAAAATGCCCACCCTCCCACCTGCTCCAACCTCCTCCACCGCTGTCAGCTGGCAGCCCCTCTGCTCGCCCTCAGCCCACCATCATTGCGGTG